GCACAGGGGGTCCAACTAAGAGCTGTGTTATGAATATGAATAAAACATTAATTAAGTAATATGAATAAAACATCATAACGTAATATATTTAAATTATTGCACTTACTTGTATAAATCATAAGAGCTTTTATTTGCAGTGAATAGCTTTTAACAGGGCGCTTATACACGCTCAGAAAATCGCTCAGAAACACTTGATTCGAACGATTGTTCAAATATGGCGAATAAATTGACAAAACGAAAATATTACATGACGTTCCAACGAAAATAACAGCAAGGATTGCGGGCGCGAGCGGAAGGCGAGGGTAATAGATATTAATTTTATTTAATAATTAGATAATAATAGATATCTATTTATTTCTTCCCTCGCCTTTTCGCTTGCTCGCGCGCCCGCAATCCTTGCTGTTACTTTCGATGGAACGTCATGTAATATTTTCGTTTTGTCAATTTATTCGCCATATTTGAACAATCGTTCGAATCAAAATGTTTCTGAGCGATTTTCTGAGCGTGTATAAGCGCCCTGTTAAAAGCTATTCACTGCAAATACAAGCTCTTATGATTTATACAAGTAAGTGCAATAATTTAAATATATTACGTTATGATGTTTTATTCATGTTACGTTTAATTAATGTTTTATTCATATTCATAACACAGCTCTTAGTTGGACCCCCTGTGTTTAAAGTTATGAAATACAAGTTTCGCCATATTGGTTTATAATGTTTTGGACCAGAGTTGGTTGCTTTCAACATGGCGGCCAGGATCCGGAAGTAGCATGTGCCGGCACAAAAACTTCAAAGGTTCCGACTCGAGTGAAGCTTCTGCCCTTCTCTATTTTGTGCTAGAAGGCCTAGTTGATTTCCCAACAACAAGGCCAAAACTGCCCTGAAACTGCCCTGGTTGCGAAATGCCCAATTATTGCGTTCTCAAACAGAATTATTTGCAACTTAACGGCGAATTTAAACCGATACAGGTAAAATAAACTCATTTATAGTATAAACTTACTATTTTTATTTGTATACACGTCTAGAAAATCGGTTTTTTATCATAAAGTTCGAAGCAACACTATTTAGGCGAAATAAAAAAAAATACTTGGTTAGCGTCACACTCTCACAAATTTTCAGAGGCGGGCGGGCGGATTTTTTTTAAAATTTTTACTCGTTTTTGTTGCATGCCCATATATGGCATGCAACTATCATATAGCTTAAAATTCGTGTCCGTTGGTGGTGAAACTTGCGGCAGATCACGTGGGACAAGCATAATAACAAAAAGCATAATTATAAATTTTGAATCGTGTGCACGTTTTCTTCCATGGTTTTCGTCGAGCAAATGCAAAGATTCGCAGAAAATTTACATAATCGAGCGCCTTAGAAAAATACATCAAGGTAGGTAAAGCTTTGCTGTTTTAATTTACTTTATATTCTGTTATTTTGTTGTGATTTTGGAGCCGCTGTGCTCGCACTGATTATTTATCAGTATCAGACGTAATATTATATAGCGTGAAAGGCCATGCACGCTATCAAAATACTAAATTTAAATATATTCAAACTGAAGTGGAGTTATTGTGCTCGCATTGATTATATTGTGTGCAAAACTTCAAAACTACAGTAAATTTTGTAAATAACATGAATTCGAAATATATTAAAAATAACAAACAAAATTCTCATTAATACTATTGAAATTACAACGAAATAGCATTCTACGTCGATAATTTCAATCGTATACGTAGTTTAACAATTATTTTCAATCTGTAGTAATTCACCGTTTCCATGTTTTTTTATACTTTCAATAAGGCTACAATAAAGCTAAATTTGTAGGAAATAACTTTATTTAGTTATAAAATAGTACTGTAAAGGAAATCTAACAGTCAATCGCTTTCGATAAAACCTTGACCTTGTTTATATTACCGTCGCCTGCAACTAACGATGAACAGTTGCTCATAAAAACATCGCCTTTTCGCGTGATAATCTAACGTTTTCTTATTTTGACATAATAGCCAATTTTCAATAAATATATTGATATTAAACTTATTGAATCAATATATTAAGTTTCAGGCCAGTTGTACCAAACGTTATAAG